TTCCTAAACATTTAACATGCCGTGACGCCTTCACTTCCCCCATAGAAGGAACTGGCTTTTTTTTTTTTTTTTTTTTTTTTATTCCTCTTTTTGCAAGAGGTGTTTGCGGCGTGCAGATCAAACCCCTTTCTTCCCAGGCTCTTGTCGGCGCCTGCGTTCCGGGACTTCAGAATACCACGGTGGGGAAGGCAAAGCTGGGTCCCACGGAAATCACGACCAGGCGGCGGTTTGCCGATGGCGAGGCTTTCACTCGTTCGTTCATCATTCATTCGTTCACACAGGGAGCCAAGAGCGTCCATCCATCCATTCATTCGTTCGTCCATTCATTCATTCATTCATTGTTTCAATGAGTTCCTACTATGCGCCGGGTCTTGTGCGGGACACCCATTCACAACACAGATGCAAATTTCAACGAAGCCGGCTTCAAAGACACCGCGCTTCAACTTGTAGATGCAAGACCGACTTTATTTTTAGCAGGAAAGCTAGTTGGAAAGCTACATTAGCAAAGACCGTCCCCAGGAAAGGTTTCAGTGCCTGGAGGTGAAAGGTGGAGTTTGGAAGTGGGGGCGAGGAGCAAAGAGCCGGAAACACAGGGCGCATTTCACTGGGGGCTCCCCAGCACCCCGCAAGTGATCCCGGGCAGCCCCGTTTTGCATCATTTGCTAAGGGGAAAACAGACTAAGAGAAGAGGCAAAACCAAGCTCACGCTGCAGATTGGTGGGGCCCCGTGTGGAGAGCAGGTGGCCAGGATAAGATGACACCAAGTTCACAGCAGGGTGGGAGGGGGCATGAAGGGGGTCCCCGGCTTTGTATCACTTTACCCATAAGGACTCTAGTGATACCATTCTCACAAGGCGGGTGTGGTAGGTTTTGTTTTGCAGATGAAGGGATTCAGGCTCAGAGAGGCTGCTGGTTTAGTTAAGGTCACACAGCAGTAAGAAAACCTACTCTGGGATTAGTCTCAAGTGTCACCTCCCCAGTATAGTGTTCCCTCTCTCTCTCTCTGTCTCTCTCTCTTTAAAACACACACGCGCGCGCGCACACACACACACTCATCTTGGCTTCATTCCACCCACAGCAGCCTGAGGACACTCGGAGCCCTGAGTGTGGCTTTTCCCGACAAAACCAGAGCTCAATTATTGGGAAGTGGCTCCCCCAGCCATTTCTGGATCCATTTGAGAAAAATAAATAAAGCTGGGGACTGACTCTCCAGTGATGACAGGGGCGGATGGAGAGGGGGGGTCAGGTGGCTTTGCAATGCCACTGGTGAGAACAGGCGACGTCCCCCATCGCTAATGGGGTTCAGACAACACCCCCTTCGGGGCCTGAGGGAAGCGCTGGTAATTGAATCTGCATAAACCTAAGGCTTTGGTACTCCTTCCTGTCCATTTCATCCGATTACTTTTTTGTTATGGCAACGACGCCTCTAATGAGGTTCAGGTAAGATTAAGGACATGGGGACGGAGGAAGAAATGCGTATTTAAGGTCCTGCCCCCGGATCCAGCTGGAAAAAAAAAATTAAATAGTTTTCAGGAAAGGTAGGCTCTGTGTTAGGTCAGGTCAGCGAAGGACTTTGCATATCTATGTCTCGATCAAAACACCCAGGTAATTCATTTCGTCTTGGGTTGTCCCCAGCTGTCACCTTCCTTTCCCGGACTCCTCCCCTACCTAGGAGATGTTATTTTTGTTTGAAGGGGGGATTATTATCCATCAAACAGAAATATTGCCTCCAAATTTGGAGTAAGCGGATAATGAGGCCACTCTGGTAATTTCACACTGATGACAAGAGAAACATCTCCATGGCTGACTGACAGTTGCCGTGAGGAGACAGAACCCTCTGGAATCCCTCCCAGGCTGGGCTGGGAGCTGCTCAAAGGAGGGGGGGGGGAGAGGAAGCCTGGTGGCCTGTCACCCCTGCCCGCTGCCTATGGGGTCTTCACCACCTCGTCAGACATCCAAGCTGACAATGGTGTGAAATTGAAATTGTGGAGTAGATTAAATGATGTATTTAAGGCTGCAGGACAGGAGCGGGGGAGGGCAATGGAGGCAGGGGGTGGGGAGGAGGGGAGGGAGGACCAAATAAGGAACTGAGAATGTGTGTGTGGGGGGGGGGGGGGG